GCCCCTCGGACGGTCACCGACATACTTCTTCCTCCTATATATACCTATGTACCCCGAAAACATCCAGGAGCACCACGAAACACAATTTCCACTGCCGTAACCTTCTATATCCGCGAGATCCCATCTTGGAGCCCTTGCCGGCACTCTGCCGGAGGGGGAAGCAACCACGGAGGGCCTCTACATCAACATCCTTGCCCCTCCGATGAGTTGTGAGTAGTTTACCACAGACCTACGGGTCCATAGTTATTAGCTAGATGGCTTCTTCTCTCTTTTTGGATCTCAATACAATGTTCTCCCCCTCTCTTGTGGAGATCTATTCGATGTAATCTCTTTTTGCGGTGTGTTTGTCGAGATCCGATGAATTGTGGGTTTATGATCAAGTTTATCTATGAATAATATTTGAATCTTCTCTGAATTCTTTTATGTACGATTGAGTTATCTTTGCAAGTCTCTCCGAATTATCAGTTTGGTTTGGCCTACTAGATTGGTCTTTCTTGCCATGGGAGAAGTGCTTAGCTTTGGGTTCAATCTTGCGGTGTTCTTACCCAGTGACAGAAAGGGTTGCAAGACACGTATTGTATTGTTGCCATCGAGGATAACAAGATGGGGTTTATATCATATTGCATGTGTTTATCCCTCTACATCATGTCATCTTGCTTAATGTGTTGCTCTGTTCTTATGAACTTAATACTCTAGATGCAGGCAGGAGTCGGTCGATGTGTGGAGTAATAGTAGTAGATGCAGGCAGGAGTCGGTCTACTTGTTATGGACGTGATGCCTATATACATGATCATGCCTAGATAATCTCATAACTATGAGCTTTTCTATCAATTGCTCGACAGTAATTTGTTCACCAACCGTAATACTTATGCTATCTTGAGAGAAGCCTCTAGTGAAACCTATGGCCCCCGGGTCTATCTCTTATCATATTTTCTTTCTACTTTTATTTACATCTTTACTTTTTGCATCTATATCAAAAATACCAAAAATATATTTATCTTATCATACTATCTTTATTAGATCTCACTTTTGCAAGTGGCCGGGAAGGGATTGACAACCCCTTTATTGCATTGGTTGCGAGTTCTCAGTTTGTTTGTGTAGGTGCGTGGGACTTTTGAGGAGCCTCCTACTAGATTGATACCTTGGTTCTCAAAACTGAGGGAAATACTTACGCTACACTTTGCTGCATCACCCTCTCCTCTTCAAGGAAAACCAACGCAAGCTCAAGACGTAGCATAGGCCCCCTTCGCCACTCCACGTCTGGCCCGTCTTGGTCTCGCTCACTTCACCCGCCTATCGTAATGGCTCGACTTCGTCCGTCAAGTGACAACTTCTGCCTCTAACGGCTTCACTATCACTCATGACTGGTAGTAGTTGTTTCTATGTAGTAGTCGACCTTTTTTAAGCTTCGCCAGAAGCGACTAGTCGCTTTGCGGATGCCTCTTTCTTGTACTAATTAATGTGTATGGTCTAGTCTTTCCAATGCTTCCTTCCTTGCCGCCAACGCACGCTAGATGGAGAGTAAGCAAGCTACCTTGCTTGCATTGCATTCGTTAAACGGTAGCTTCTGCACCCTTCCTGCATGCTTCAATTGATGTGAATGACTGTGTCTTCGACATCAATTTCAGTCTGATTAGATATGTCATTGAATCAAATCTGTTTGTCTTTGTTTTGTTTTCGGATGATGAGGATGAGCCAGCCGATCCTAACATAATTTTGGAGGAGCCGGATGACGAAGCCTCAAAATCAGATAAAGATGTCTCCGACGCGACCCGACTTCCACTAGATTTTTATAGGGGTCGGGAGGGAAAAGATTGTTGGGGAACGCAGTAATTTCAAAATTTTCCTACGATCACGCAAGATCTATCTAGGTGATGCATAGCAACAGGGGGAGAGTGTGTCCACGTACCCTCGTAGACCGGAAGCGGAAGCGTTATGTAACGCGGTTGATGTAGTCGAACGTCTTCGCGATCCAACCGATCAAGTACCGAACGCACGGCACCTCCGCGATCTGCACACGTTCAGCTCGGTGACGTCCCTCGAACTCTAGATCCAGCTGAGGCCGAGGGAGAGTTCCATTAGCACAACGGTGTGGTGACGGTGATGATGAAGCTACCGGCACAGGGCTTCGCCTAAGAACTACGACAATATGACCGAGGTGTGTAACTGTGGAGGGGGGCACTGCACACGGCTAAAAAATCAACTTGATCAACTTGTGTGTCTATGGGGTGCCCCCTCCCCCGTATATAAAGGAGGAGAGGGGAGGCCGGCCAGCCCTCCTTGGCGCGCCCCCAAGAGGGGAATCCTACTAGGACTCCAAGTCCTAGTAGGTTTCCACCAAAAGGGAGAGAGGGGGAAGGAGGGAGAGGGAGAGGGAGAGGAAGAAGGAAAGGGGGCCACCGCCCCCCTTCCTTGTCCTATTCGGACTCAAGGGGGAGGGGGTGTGCGGCCTACCCTGGCCTCCCCCCTCTCTCTCTCTCCACTAAGGCCCATCGAGGCCCAATAGTTCCCCCGAGGGTTCCGATAACCCTCCGGCACTCCGGTTTTATCTGAGACCTCTCCGGAACACTTCCGATGTCCGAATATAGTCGTCCAATATATCAATCTTTATGTCTTGACCATTTCGAGACTCCTCGTCATGTCCGTGATCACATCCGGGACTCCGAACAACCTTCGGTACATCATATCACATAAACTCATAATACCAATTGTTATCGAACATTAAGCGTGCGGACCCTACGGGTTCAAGAACTATGTAGACATGACCGAGACACGTCTCCAGTCAATAACCAATAGCGGAACCTGGATGCTCATATTGGTTCCTACATATTCTATGAAGATCTTTATCGGTCAAACCACATAACAACATATGTTGTTCCCTTTGTCATCGGTATGTTACTTGCCCGAGATTCGATCGTCGGTATCATCATACCTAGTTCAATCTCATTACCGGCAAGTCTCTTTACTAGTTCCGTAATACTTCAGCCCTCAACTAACTCATTAGTCACAATGTTTGCAAGGCTTATAGTGATGAGTATTACCGAGAGGGCCTAGAGATACCTCTCCGAAATACGGAGTGACAAATCCCAATCTCAATCTATGCCAACACAACAAACACCTTCGGAGACACCTGTAGAGCACCTTTATAATCACCCATTTATGTTGTGACGTTTGGTAGCACACAAAGTGTTCCTCCGGTATTCGGGAGTTGCATAATCTCATAGTCCGAGGAACTTGTATAAGTCATGAAGAAAGCAGTAGCAATGAAACTGTAACGATCATAGTGCTAAGCTAACGGATGGGTCATGTTCATCACATCATTCTCCTAATGATGTGCTCCCATTCATCAAATGACAACACATGTCTATGGTTAGGAAACATAACCATCTTTGATTAACGAGCTAGTCAAGTAGAGGCATACTAGGGACTATATGTTTTGTCTATGTATTCAGACATGTACTAAGTTTCCGGTTAATACAATTCTAGCATGAATAATAAACATTTATCATGAATTAAGGAAATAAATAATAACTTTATTATTGCCTCTAGGGCATATTTCCTTCAATCTCCCGCTTGTACTAGAGTCAATAATCTAGATTACATAGTAATGATTCTAACACCCATGGAGCTTTGGTGCTGATCATGTTTTGCTCATGGAAGAGGCTTAGTCAATGGGTCTGCAACATTCAGATCCGTGTGTATCTTGCAAACATCTATGTCCCCTTCCGGCACTTGATGATGAATGGAATTGAAGCGTCTCTTGATGTGCTTGGTTCTCTTGTGAAATCTGGATTCCTTTGCCAAGGCAATTGCACCAGTATTGTCACAAAATATTTTCATTGGACCCGATTCACTAGGTATGACACCTAGATCGGATATGAACTCCTTCATCCAAACTCGTTCATTTGCTGCTTCCGAAGCAGCAATGTACTCTGCTTCACACGTAGATCCCGCCATGACGCTCTGCTTGGAACTGCACCAACTGACAGCTCCTCCATTAAATAAAAATATGTATCCGGTTTGTGACTTAGAGTCATCCGGATTAGTGTCAAAGCTTGCATCGATGTAACCATTTACGACGAGCTCTTTTTCACCTCCATAAACGAGAAAAATTTCCTTAGTCCTTTTCAGGTATTTCAGGATGTTCTTGACCGTTGTCCAGTGCTCCACTCCG